TACTTGGATGAAATTCTGTTCTTTATGTTTTAGATTTAGAGTTCAACAACGTGTTTGTAAATAGGGTTACGAACGTAGATTGAATTAAAATGATATGGAGTAGGTTTTGAAGATAAACAATCGAGGAGAAGAGAAGGGCAAAGAGATGAGTGAGTGAGTAAAGGTTGGTTTTCTTTAAGAAGGGTAAAATTGTCCACAACTCATGTAGAGGGCTTGATTACAATTCAAACTAAAAGTGGGTTATTTGTTAATTTCAGTTTCAAGACAGGGTCATAAAAGTACTTTTCTTTTTTTTTTGTGAAACTGTTGAAATCTTTATTTTGTATCAGTAGCATTATCATAAAATTAGAGTAAAATTTTCTAGATGTAAATAAGATTTGCTAATTTTAACCCTAAACGACACTATTGTATTTAATATAATATAATTATGAGTAAACAACATGGTCCCACCGAGGTTTAGCAACCCCAATTTCATTTATTCCAATTCCTACCCTTAAAGTAACACCGTTTGCTAAAATGGTCATATATACTATAGTGCGGCGTACATTAGATGCTAAAGTGCATCGACACTTTCTTTGACATGAGGTAGGCTCATGTTGGCAAGAAGCGACTCACATTAGCAATGTGTAGGCCAACAGTTTTTGACTTTTTTCGGTCAATTCCGAAGTCCAAAGTAACTTTTGAGACCACTGTAGTGCGGCGTACATTAGATGCTAAAGTGCATCGACACTTTCTTTGACATGAGGCAGGCTCATGTTGGCAAGAAGCGACTCACATTAGCAATGTGTAGGCCAACAGTTTTTGACTTTTTTCGGTCGATTCCGAAGTCCAAAGTAACTTCTGAGACCACTGCTAGACTCTCCATAACCTCTTCTACAAAACTCATACCTTCACTTGCCGACCCCACTCAAGTTTCCAACCACCTCCATTCTTGCCACCTTCAAGTTTTTTTTTTTTTCGATGAATTTGGGTGCAACTGACCTCTCTAGACTTCACTGTTAGGTTCTTCGCCATCAACTGATTGTTGTGATGCGTTTTTTGGCCGTTGGTGACTCCTCAATCGCCAAAAATCGAAGCCCAAATTAGTGCCTATAACTTACTCGATTAAATTCCTCACCCAACTACAGCCTAGAAGCCAACCCCATCACTACCAATTTAACAGTGTTACTTTAAGGGTAGGAATATGAAATAAATGAAATCAGGGGTATCAACTTGCTATTTCACTATACCTCATGTGGGAACATGTCGTTTACTCTATAATTATTAAAAGAATTGTAATTAATAATTTCTTTTGATAATACTAATAATTGAAAAATGGTTTTCTAAAGTAGTTAAATTTGAAGAAAATATTTAAAATTTAATAATAATAATTTAAGTTTATTGTAAAACAAAATTTTGACAAACTTATAGGATAATATATGATTCATTGATTGAAATTGATCCAATAAACTTGAAAAAGATATTAGAGGTAATTTTTTCGAATTCATTAACTTCTTGCCAATTATATTGTTTATTAATAATAAAAAGTATTGTGTTATAATTTTGCATAAAAAATTTATAATAAGTTTTCAAGTATATGTTCCCACCCGAGGTATAGCAAAATAGTAAGTTGATACCCTTGGTTTCATTTATTCTAGATTTTCTTTTAAAGTAACGTCGTTTCCACCACCAGCTCTACCTCTTCCTCCTAATCAACCACCACCATCAATACCACCTCCAGCCCCACCACCAACACTGACCCCAATTCCAAAGCCTCCACCTTTACTTGAACCACCTCCAACATCTCATTCTCCACCGTAACCAAAGCCTCCATTTCCACATACACCTCCTTCACCACCAACGGCTCCAACCAAATTTCACATTTCCAATGCACAACATCGAGGAAACCCCTTTCTCGATCTTAAAGCAAAATCGAAAGGTTTTTACCAAAAAAAATTAAACTCCGCCTCCTTTTTTTGGCAATCTTCCAATTGGAATTTTGCAAAAAATAAATAAATCACATTCCCAAACAAACAAATCACACTCCAAAATAGAAATCAAATTCAACCAAACTTTGATTCAAACACACAACCAACTCAATCAAACTCGAATTCCATCAAAAACCAAAGCGCGATTAGCACACAATAGGTGGCTGGGTAGCGGGGTTTGACCGGTAGGCTTGATGGTGGTGGTTTGAGATGGCTCAAGGGCTGTTAGGTCATGACATAGGGTTGCATAGAGTAGAGCTGCGCGGTGTGATATAGAGAAGACTTAGGTGTCAGGCAGCAAATGGTGCAACTAGATGGTGTCAAGGTTTTGGTAGGGATGGTGAGGGGAAGCAGCTGGTAGTGTCAGGTGGGGTGGTCAGCGTCGGGGACTAGCTAGGTGGTTGCGTGCTGGCTAGAGGCACCTCGATGACGCCGATGGCTTTCATGCCATGATCGGGCCGTTCAAGCCTTGGTCATCATCCGAGGATGCTCACCTTTGTTCACCAGTGTCGAAAATGGCCAAAGTGGTTTGAGAGGTTGTAGTGACGCGAGGGGGCAGAAACTAGGAAGACGAAGGGTTTACTTTTTTTATTTATTTTCATGGGTTTTATGATTTTTATTAGGGTTTAGGGTAATTCACCTCTAGAATTTGGAATTTTACAATTAAAATATAAGGGCATTATGGTGATTTCATAAATTTATTATGGGTATAAATAATATGTATGGGGGCATTCTCCTTTTTTTTACATGTCTACTCAATTGTTTTTTACTAAATAATCAAAAGTCATAGGTTCAAGGGCAGTTTGGTAATTGCAATCTCTGCATATGTGTCAGAACCCAACAATGGTAAGGGTAGGGGTGGGTGGGTTTAGGTATCGGCCCAAATTCAAAGGAACCATAACCAGAATTGACCGGTTCCTTGGATTTGGAAGCTAGGAACTGGAACCTAAAACATAGGTTCTGGTTCCCGTTCCGGGTAACCAGGTTAGTTTTAATTACTCCATAGTCCATACTTTTAAAAAATGACAAATAAACCCTCTAAAAATTACAATACACCCCAATAGTTTACAAAAATTATAATTCAATCCTTATTCCTACTCGGGTACCCGGATCTCTGCTCTGGTTCCCGGTTCCTACAGGGGTGGAACTGAAACTAGAATCGGAATCGGAACCGATTGGTTCCTGATTTCTAAAATCGGAACCTACCTTGTGAGGGCAGGTTCCTGGTAGGAATTAGAATTGGAACCCCGGGTATCTACTAGTTTTGGTTCTAGCTGGTTTCTTTGCACACTCTCAGCTAACGGTATTACTAATCGGAATAAATGAAACTAGGGGTACCCACTGGGTATTTTGCTGAACCTCAGGTGGGAACATGTTGTTTGCTCATGAACCCGTATACAATAATAAAGCCCTGATTTTCCCGCCACTTTTACTCTCTGCCGTTCCTCAGTTCCTCTTCACTCTCTCTCAAGTTGTAAGCTTTGGGAAAAAGATNACAACATCGAGGAAACCCCTTTCTCGATCTTAAAGCAAAATCGAAAGGTTTTTACCAAAAAAAATTAAACTCCGCCTCCTTTTTTTGGCAATCTTCCAATTGGAATTTTGCAAAAAATAAATAAATCACATTCCCAAACAAACAAATCACACTCCAAAATAGAAATCAAATTCAACCAAACTTTGATTCAAACACACAACCAACTCAATCAAACTCGAATTCCATCAAAAACCAAAGCGCGATTAGCACACAATAGGTGGCTGGGTAGCGGGGTTTGACCGGTAGGCTTGATGGTGGTGGTTTGAGATGGCTCAAGGGCTGTTAGGTCATGACATAGGGTTGCATAGAGTAGAGCTGCGCGGTGTGATATAGAGAAGACTTAGGTGTCAGGCAGCAAATGGTGCAACTAGATGGTGTCAAGGTTTTGGTAGGGATGGTGAGGGGAAGCAGCTGGTAGTGTCAGGTGGGGTGGTCAGCGTCGGGGACTAGCTAGGTGGTTGCGTGCTGGCTAGAGGCACCTCGATGACGCCGATGGCTTTCATGCCATGATCGGGCCGTTCAAGCCTTGGTCATCATCCGAGGATGCTCACCTTTGTTCACCAGTGTCGAAAATGGCCAAAGTGGTTTGAGAGGTTGTAGTGACGCGAGGGGGCAGAAACTAGGAAGACGAAGGGTTTACTTTTTTTATTTATTTTCATGGGTTTTATGATTTTTATTAGGGTTTAGGGTAATTCACCTCTAGAATTTGGAATTTTACAATTAAAATATAAGGGCATTATGGTGATTTCATAAATTTATTATGGGTATAAATAATATGTATGGGGGCATTCTCCTTTTTTTTACATGTCTACTCAATTGTTTTTTACTAAATAATCAAAAGTCATAGGTTCAAGGGCAGTTTGGTAATTGCAATCTCTGCATATGTGTCAGAACCCAACAATGGTAAGGGTAGGGGTGGGTGGGTTTAGGTATCGGCCCAAATTCAAAGGAACCATAACCAGAATTGACCGGTTCCTTGGATTTGGAAGCTAGGAACTGGAACCTAAAACATAGGTTCTGGTTCCCGTTCCGGGTAACCAGGTTAGTTTTAATTACTCCATAGTCCATACTTTTAAAAAATGACAAATAAACCCTCTAAAAATTACAATACACCCCAATAGTTTACAAAAATTATAATTCAATCCTTATTCCTACTCGGGTACCCGGATCTCTGCTCTGGTTCCCGGTTCCTACAGGGGTGGAACTGAAACTAGAATCGGAATCGGAACCGATTGGTTCCTGATTTCTAAAATCGGAACCTACCTTGTGAGGGCAGGTTCCTGGTAGGAATTAGAATTGGAACCCCGGGTATCTACTAGTTTTGGTTCTAGCTGGTTTCTTTGCACACTCTCAGCTAACGGTATTACCAATCGGAATAAATGAAACTAGGGGTACCCACTGGGTATTTTGCTGAACCTCAGGTGGGAACATGTTGTTTGCTCATGAACCCGTATACAATAATAAAGCCCTGATTTTCCCGCCACTTGTACTCTCTGCCGTTCCTCAGTTCCTCTTCACTCTCTCTCAAGTTGTAAGCTTTGGGAAAAAGATGTTGTGGGTTGATAAGTACAGACCCAAAACCCTCGACCAGGCAATCGTCCATCAAGACATTGCTCAGAATCTCAAGAAACTCGTATTTCTCTTCATCTCTCTCTTTTAAAACATATATATTTTTGATATAATCGAATTCTAGGGTTTTGATTTCATTATCTTTAACTGTTTTGTTTTCTTTTTCAAAATCAGGTCACTGAACAAGATTGCCCCCATCTGCTCTTCTATGGCCCATCTGGCTCCGGCAAGAAAACCCTAATCATCGCTTTGCTTCGTCAAGTCTTTGGTCCTGGCGCCGAAAAGGTCTCTCTTTTCCTTTCAATTTTGATGGGTTTGTTTTTTCTCTTATTGTTGTTTTATTTTGTTATAATTTGTTTGAGTAATGAAATTTCTTTACGAAAAATTCTGCGAAAGTTGATAATGTTCAAATTTTGATGATTTTATGTGTGGGTTTTTGTGGTTTTGGTTTTTAAAATAATGTAGTGAAGGAAACAACGACAACAACTTTTTAATGTTGAAATTTAAGTAAGTTTTGCATGTATATGAGCGCAAAAGAAAATAAATTACATTTTAATACTTCTTTTTTGTGAACTTAAATTCAAGTTGACAAAGCTAATGTATGCTACAGGATGATTTGGTAGTGTGGTAATTCTGAGAAATTCATTCAAATTTGATTGCAGGTGAAGGTGGAGAACAGGACTTGGAAAGTGGATGTAAGCTCCATCCTATATTATGTTTTGTTTCGTTAGTTTTACAAAAAGAAATCGACGAGTAATTTCCTTCTGTTGTGAAATTTTGTGCACAATTGTTAGTTAATTGTGGAATGTGTTTTCTGGTTGAGATGATTAAATATGGCCTCAACATTTTATAGAACTTGTAATTGGATTTGTCAATCTCCTTTCCAGAAAAGAAAACTAGATGTTGTAATGTTACAGTTGTTAAAGTTGTTCTCTTTATAATGGGTAAGGTAAAATTTAGAAAGAAATGATAACCTAGAATCATGTAGCTGGTCAAGTTATAGGGAAAATATAATATTACTTTTTTATGTATTTCTTGGAATTTTCTGTTATCAAATGGAGTTTTGGATTCTGATTCTGGTAAAATAATTAAGTCATAACATATAATCGATATAGCCTTTTTTTTTAACTTCTTATGTCTAACATTGTTTTTCTGTCTAAAAGATGTCAATGAATTAGAGCTTTGCACTTTCTTGGAACTTACATAATAACTTGCATTAAGAACGCTAAGTTAGGTTTTATGTGCATGCTGACTTGAACCTAGAGCTGTTCATGTTTGATGCTCTTCACCAGTCATAAATATATCGGCTGTCTGAATTTTTGTACTCTCCTTGTTTGAGAGAGGACATCTATATTTATATGTATGTATATATTTGCTATTATTCTTTTTCAACTTGCTTTTGATTTTGTGTGGTAGAAAGCTAGCAGAACTGTTGGATATCATTTTTTTTTTTTTTTTTTTTTTGCTATTAATTTTTGTCATGTTGTTTTGACCATGTTATTTTATTTAGCTATGATGATTATGTTGCAGGCTGGAAGTAGAACTATTGATCTGGAGCTGACCACATTATCAAGTGCCAACCATGTAGAACTAAGTCCTAGTGATGTAGGCTTTCAGGACAGATATATAGTTCAAGAGATAATTAAAGAGATGGCTAAGAATAGACCTATTGACACTAAAGGAAAAAGAGGGTATAAAGGTAATAAATGATCGATTTATTAGAATCGTATTTATGCTGAGTAAAAGTCTTTGGAGTTCAGAGTCCAGACATTTTTGGATATTTTGTGGAATATGACTTTTTTGTATTGTCATCTACTTATTTGAAGTTCTAAACAGTCCTTCAGAATTGGTCTTAAAGATGCATGGGATCCATGGGATTATGATGCAGTAGAAAATATGACTTAAATTCATGAAATAAAACAACTTGAATGAATGAGTCGAAAGCACAAACTTCAATGAATAAATGGTTAAGAAACAGTCCAATATTAGTAAATTAAAAGAAAAAAACAATGGAAGAAAAACAAAATCATATGAGATGGTAGTAAACAAATAAGACCAGATAGAAATTCCTAAAAGTGTCAGTCTTCCTCTTTTTTCTTGTCAAATTTTAACTCCATATATGTCTCTTTCATACATTAGACTACTTCTGGGTTTTCTTAGACATGGCTTGTTTCAAAGGTTTTACCTAGGCAGAAAATGTCATCTTCATAGTGAGCACTTAAAATAATGATTTTTTACATCTAAAGTCTTAATGCTATACCAAATAGAACAGCCATTGGGTTTTTGTAGGTCTTTAAATGCATCCATATTCTCTTTATAAAAAATGGTTATTTTGGCCTCTATTTGGTAGTAGCCATTTAGGTTTCATTACCTGAGAGCACCAGCCCTATTCTTCGTTGAAAGAAAAAGTGTAAATGATTAAATTGGTTGCCCAGTAAGTAATCTTATAATATTTCATGACTTAAACTTTCGTTACTCCTCCTGAAAATTAAGTAAAATATAAATGTCTTATTTGATTTTTCCCCTATTTGGGTTCACTTTAGTTGACATTCTGCAAAGCTTTATAGCACATCTGCACACTTAGCTTTAAAGTTTTTTAATTTAGATTGTTTTGAGTATTTCTTATCTTCGGATATCCTCTATCAATTTAATCAATCTCTTAATTTCTCAGTGAGTTTCATGTTGTTTTTGTTTTTAAATTTTCCATTGTTCTGCCAAGCAGACAGTTTTTTTTTTTTTTTAATTTTTTTTCACTATATTTATTTTTTATTTTTTTGTCGTTCCTTAAGGACAAGATTGAATTGATTAATTAGGGTTGCAAGTTTCAGCCTGGCTGCTTAATTAAGCAATCAATTTAGTTACAGCAATCAATCAGTCATCCTTCTGAAGTTGCTTTATCTACAAGTTTGTGTTGTTGATTTTAAATTCTTGTGCAATGTTAGTGTTGGTGCTCAATGAGGTTGACAAGCTTTCAAGAGAAGCCCAGCATTCTCTCCGAAGAACAATGGAGAAATATAGTACTTCTTGTCGTCTAATTTTATGCTGTAACAGCTCTTCAAAAGTTACTGAAGCGATTCGGTCTCGTTGCTTGAATGTGCGAATAAATGCACCAACTGAGGAAGAGGTATTCAATTTCGTTGTCTGTTTTGATTTTTCATGGAACGATCCTTCTTCTGGATCCTTTCATTGATTGTCAAGGACCATACATGCAAGTAATACCACATTTCTTTCTTAAGGCCACATCAAGCATGTTTATTTCGTTCTGCATGGCATTGGGGTTGGTTTTCTTAGGTGAATGGGAGGTCTTGATGGATGGATTTCGCATAAAATAGTTGAAAACTTTTCAATGGTTGACATTCTGCTAGTCTCAATCTCTCTGAAAATGAGCTGGTTGTCTTTAACAGCTTGCTTGATTTTTTTTTTTTTTTTTTTTTTTTTTTGGTTTGGTTTTGTCATATATTATTGTCATCTAAGCTTTTACATGGACTATTTTACATTATCATAGGTTGTATTTTCGAATTTTTAGTAGATGAATGTTTATAAAGATAAGTCAAGTTTACAGATCACTTCTTTCAAGTTTCAACTGATATTTAAACGGATCAGTGTTTCCCTATGGATTAGTTTTTCGCTCTCAAAGAGTGTTTAATAATAATGTATTTATTCTTTGAAAATTATTTGCCAGCCTCGCCAAACTTGTATATTTCATGAAAAATGAACAATTGAAAATTAAATTAAATTCTGAGTTCTCACTTATATAGTAGCTTTGAAAACATGAGGTTGGACCACTGTTCATCTTGCAGCAACATACTGTAAAGTAAACTGCTCTTTAACTGTTAACTTGCTGATATTTCTTTGTTTTTTTAATTTTCTAAAATCCAAAATCATCATTTCGCTGGACATGATTAGCTTTTTGGGATTGGGCATGGAAAATTTTGGAGAGCTAGGACATGTCAGGATAAGCATAAAAGTCTTATTGTAAAACCTATTGAGAGAGATTACTCTGATTTGGATGGCCTTGTAACCTTCAGAAGAGAATGAGAAAGTGCCAAGTTGATTTTTTTATGGAGAAATAATATTCCCTTAAATTTTCAGATAAACTTGGTCTTTTTCTTTTGATTTTTATGGATTCTGATTTGTAGAACATATCATTTTAGATGACTAGTTGACTTGGTGTATGTCATACAACTATTATGCTCATTTAATGTATTTGTTTATATTTGTGCTAGATTGTAAAAGTACTGGAGTTTATTGGAAAGAAAGAAGGGCTGCAACTTCCATCTGGGTTTGCTGCTCGTATAGCAGAAAAATCAAATCGGAGTTTGAGGAGAGCTATATTGTCATTTGAAACTTGCCGTGTTCAACAGTTAATATCTATAATGACTCTTTAAATTAGCAGCAGTTGCGAGCCCTTCACTTTTCTCTTTGGTGCACTGTTTGATAATTAGCATCCCATTGCTACTGATATCTGTGCACCTTGCTGCTATGGTTACAGGTATCCTTTTACAAGTAACCAAGTGATTCCCCCTATGGACTGGGAGGAATATGTCGCTGAAATAGCATCTGACATAATGAAGGAGCAGAGCCCAAAAAGGTTCAGTTTCCATCTTTTTTGCATGAAGATTCTGATAGTAAAATTAATGATTGACTTCTTTAATCTTAATTTTTTTTTTTATTACTTTTAAATTGTTTATTTTCATTATCAGTACTCTTTTTGATTATGCTTTACTTAGGAGAATATATATATATATATATATAATAGTTTCTTGGTGATAATTTTAAATAGGAAGTTTAATTAGGACTTCCAGCTTTCAAGGGACTGCAATATAAATTGGATGCCTACACCGTTTCAGTAGAAGGTGTGGGGTTGCATATAAAATATTTGATAGCTGCTACATTGTAGATTTTTAATCCATTTTCCACAACAACAACCAGCGTGATAAACAGACATTTTCAAGTTCTGATGCACTATTTGTTTGTATTTCAGTGATCATACAATGATTCTGTATGGAGGCTTAAGATCATCCTATAACTTGCACCCCTTTGGTGCCCATTGTAACATTTAGGGAAAAAAGAAAATTTAAATAAATAAAAGAAGACACTCATAAAGCACACAGAGTGGTGCTACAGTTGTAATTCTGTAACCAGAGGTTTCAATTGAAAATTTTATCTGTGTAATGTAATGTTTCTAGAGAAAACAGTAATTACTGTATTCTAGTCATGAATTTTTATTGGAAAGATGTACAAGGTTGTATGAAATAAAATGTTTGCAAGTCAGAGAAACTAGGTGGGGAATGAGAAGAATTATAAAGATTATAGGATCACAAAAGGCAATATTGACGTCTTTGTAAATAAAAATATTCATGTGCTCAGAAATGTTTTATTTCCTTGCAGTGAAGCACCAGATCTGACTGGATGTGAATGCAGTTTAATCATATTCTTCCTTTATATAATCTATTCCTCTGCAGTAGGTACATTAGTTAGCATGATGCGGGAAGTATTGTACCATAGCCATATTCTGTATTTGAGCAGATTAAAACCTCTGATTAGTATATTCTTTACCACTAAGATTATAGAGTTACCAAAATGAACAAATGCTGATCTGTGATTCTGATTTGATGAATGTTTTTCAGTAATACAAATGGGTTACATTGGTTTTTATGTTCATCATTCTTCATATTTTCTAATTAAACATCTTTCTATGTGCGTTAGGTTGTTCCAGGTTCGAGGCAAGTTGTATGAACTGCTAATTAATTGTATTCCTCCTGAGATTGTATTGAAGGTACAGGTTGTTTTGAGTTTTTTTTTTTTTTTCTCTTTGCCTCCCCTCCCTTAGCTTTAAGTATGAATCATTTATTTGTTTTTATTGCAGAGGTTGCTCTATGAATTATTGAAGAGGTTAGATGTGGAATTAAAGCATGAGATCTGCCATTGGGCTGCATATTATGTAAGTCTCAATTGCCATCATATTCATTGTTACTCTCTTGGTTTCTCTTTTTCCTTGTTCAAGCTCTGTGCATTGTCTTTCCTTGATCTTTTTCAACTGTCACGCTATTGTGATGCATTATTAATAATAAATACGAATTAAATATGAATTAAGAATCAGTATTGTATTGATCTTTATTATGCTATAATTCCTGAATCTTAAGTTGCTTCTTATTCTTCATGCAAACTTTTCATCATTTGGCTTCACATTAGGTTGCTTGCATGAAGAGTTAGAAGCAATCAATTATGTAGACTTGTTTTAGGATATAATACTATGTCACCAGATTGCTTATGCTTAACTTTCTTAGGCGGTAGCTCTACTGCTTGCTAAAGGATTGAAAATCTGCTGTTGTATAATAATCAGCATAGGTATTAGCAATTGTTGTGACTTAATTAGAATGTTAATTTTGAATTTTCATATGCCTGTTATACTAAAATTGTTAAGGAATTTAATGGTTTTTCCTTTTGAAAATTAACTCTAGTGACTCTTCTGTTGGGCTTGCTTCGGATTGCATTTTCAACAATGAAATTTGTTATGTTCCTGCAGGAACATAGAATGCGTCTTGGACAGAAAGCCATATTTCACCTTGAAGGTACTTCCATCTATCTGGAAACTATATATATTCTGCTGGCAGCTAGTAAGCATATGATATGCGATCATCAATAGTAACATATTGATTGAACTTCACCAAGTTTGAATTTTCCTTGCAGATTTCTAGCAATAAATTATTCTTCTTTAATTGATTGGAACTTTCAAAAATATATAAACAATTAATCTGATGATGATCTTTAGTTGAACAAACATAGTTTCTCATGCCAGATAGCAACTACCATCAAATATCCTGAACTAGTCGTATTCTGAATTGCTTCTAAAGCTCAATCTTAAAATGCCATTAATAACTTTTCAAACATAAATACTTGCTTGTGTCAGTAAACATTACCTTTCATGTTCCTGTAATACTGTACTTGAACGTTGATGAGTTTGATGCTTGATTTGCTCATACTAAAATTTGACCAGTTGTAACACGAGAAAAAATAATGCGTTGCTTTTTTTAAGTCGACCAACTAGCTTTATAGTACTTACATTGATGATTTTTGCAGCATTTGTGGCAAAGTTCATGAGCATTTACAAGGGTTTCCTCATCATGACATTTGGATGAAGATTAGACAGGCACCAGAGATGCCTTGATGTTGAATGCAATGCAAATAAATTTTGTCAACTCTGTTCCAGTGCTAGCTGAAGATGTTCTTATATCGCCCTGTGAAAAGTTTCTTGCCTCTGTGTTTCTACACTATTTTTGTTCTCTAAAGTGTTCATTACTTTCACAACTTTCTTTTTCAAGTGTTCAATTAAAGGACATCTAATAGTTATTTGTTGTTAACATTAAGGTTGCGTTTGGTTTGGGGTGATATAAGATTAATCATTTAATCTTTGTTTAATTTTCAAGATTCTCTCGTTTGGTTGTCAAAGAATAAAATATTACGTAATCTTTTATTGTAAATAGTATTTACTGTTGGTAATATTAGGAGTAATCAGATTGTCTTTTCAAATGGTGTTAATATAAGATTACTAAGGTAATCTTAATTTTGGCTATATTTTGCCTTTAATCTTTTATTATTTCAAACATATTTGTCCTCACATGTTTATCAAATAACAATTAGCCTAGACCTTTTACATTTGAGAATATAGCTAAAATACCTTAGTCACAAAAAAGTTTAAAAATTAACAAAATACCTCTAGTCATCCAAGATCATTATCGACCGTTAGTCATCACTGTTGGTCGTCAACGAAAGTTGTCATATTAGTGCAAGACCGATAGGATTTTGTCGGCGTGTGTCGATGAGGACTTTTTCGACCATGGATTTGTGATCCCTGGTCGGAAATGACTAGATATGGCTGTTTCACGACCAATGATGTGGTCGTGAAACGCCATAGATCTGACCTTGAAAAGGTCAGATCTTTGGCTGTGAAATGGTTGTTGTTTCACGGCAAAAGATCTGGCCGTGAAAAGGCTAGATCTTTGGCTGTGAAATGGCCATCGCTTCATAGTCAAAGATCTGGCATTCTCATGGCCAAATTTGTGGCTGTTTCATGGCCACATCTTTGGTTGTGAAACATCCATATTCACGGCTAGATCTAGCCGTTTTTGGCTATGGATCACCAAATTAGACCTTATCGACGCATGATTAGCCAGATCCGATCACTCGTGCACCATTACAGTGGTTGTCGGCAGTGGTGGCTGGCTGTCAACAGTGGATTGGGGTGGGTGGGGTGATTTTGCTATAAATTAAAGTTTTATATGACTGGGGTATTTTAACAAAATTTCAAATATAAGGGGTTAAAAGAATAGTTTAAAAAATAATAGAATAAAATAATAATAAAAATAATATTATATTATTATTTAAAAAAGAAGACAATTTAATAATTTATATAACATATCTACTCCTTTATCCTCCCAACCAAACATATTATTATAACATACATATCAATTTATTTCAACCAATCAAACACATTTATTTAAAGATTCCTTGGTAATCTATCTTTCCAGTAATATAACATTTCTCAGTAATATAGTATTCTCTGAACCAAACGCATCCTAACGGAAATGACAACATGACTTAAATTTATTTGTTATTTTATTTTAAGTGAATTTGGTTCTTAAAATCTAAATTTTAAAGATTTAAAAAAACCGAAAAATACTATAACTTTCTTTTAAAGGAAGTCGAAGAATCAAAAGAATTTAACAAATTTATAAATTAAAATCTAAAAGAAATAAAAAAGAATTCTTTTATTTTGTAAATAAAATGATTTAAATTGTTTCATACGTCTTTACTCTTATATAAATCTAAATCTAATTCTAGTAAACTTTTCATCGTTCCTTAATATAAATCTAAATTCGCATCTTAATTAATAATAGAGTAATATTATTGGCTCTTCAAATTTTTTTTTTTTTAATTTAATCCTACATCTAAAAAAAAACCCATTAAAACTTTTGAAATTACTTAAATATCTAAATAAACCTCATATATTTTCAAAACAACCATTTTTTACAAAAAAATTATTAATTACTTATTTCATACTTTGTTAATATTTTTTGTCTGGATTTAAATAACAATCAATTATATTTTGTTTTATAAAATCTTGTTATGAAAGGTAACCTTTTTTGAAAGGTAAATTTAAATCAATAAAAAATTAGTAAAGAACAAAAATATAATTATAAATAAACCTTTTGTTATTATTCCAAGATTTCTATTCTTCATTTTCATATCATGTATCTTTATGTTGACTGACTATGCCGTTTTCCCCTTATTCATTTTGCTTGACTGAATAATCAAATTAAACAATTTAAAAAGCTCTCAGGCATAAGCTTTAATTCTTAGCAAAAACATAAATTAGAAATCAAATAATAAATGTGTATGTGATTTCATTTGAGGGGAAAAAACAAAAGAACGAAGAATTGAGTTTTTATAACAGTAAACAAATGAATTAAGTAAAGTTCTGATAAGAAGATTTTTTATTATAATTATTCAAAAAGGGAAATACATGAGGTTTATTTAGACATTTAAATATGTTTAAAAATGTTTAAGCATGTCTAAGGTCTGCTTGTTTTCACTTCTAAAGACTTAGAAAAAGTGAATACTATTTTATATTTAGATATTTATTAGTTGTTTCGTTTTAACCAATTTAAATTCAGAATCAGAACCACTCATATTCCTCCTAATGAAAAAAAAACAAAAAAAATTGGCTTTTAACTTTAAGACAAACATTTTTGTTTGCTTAAATGACTTTAGAATCAACATTATACAATTATCAGAAAAGTTACCAAACGCCACCTAAGATGATTTTTAGTAGCACCACTCAAATTTATTAGTTAAATATATAGTTTACCATAAAACTCTCCATATGGAAATTAGCAGTTGCATGTCTACTCTCAAAAACACTGTTATGCCTAAAATAAGGGCTGCATATTAACGTTAGCAAGCATCAATCAGAGTTTATGAAGACTTTTTACTGTCCAGAACTTGCCACTCTCTAAAGACAAAGAATAACTGTCAACAATCCAGCTGACTCAAGTATTTCTATGAATGAATTGGTTCGCACACCTGTCAAAGCCCCATTTAATTTAAGGATATTTTTGAGTTCTCAACGAATGAAGAGCAAGAGAGATCTGCACGACACCAACCCACTTGTAAAATGTATCATTAGCTTGAGTTCAGCGTTATAAATAGGCAACTCCCCCTCACAAAATCATAATCAGACACTCTTGAATTCAACAAAGAAAATAGCAAAATCACACAACTAGAAAGAGACTGGTTTGACATTCTCTAAGAACACTTATAACACCAACACTTGTAATACCTATCACAGTTCATGACCTCTCGTAATCTTGGTTACACCAGAAACACCTCTATATAAAGAAAACAGTGGATGTAGTAAAACCCCTCCTAGCCGGGTATTTCCTAAGTATCCCTTGGCCATTGAGAACCTAAAAACGCACGCCTAGGAAGAAGTTTGTTTTAAAATCCTATTTAAAGATAAACTTGTAGTTTAAAACTATATATAGATATATGTGTTTATTTTTTTCTTAACTATAATAAGTTCATTGTATAATCAAAAAAATAAATTTCCTCTTGGAGTAATATGAAATCCATAGTAATACTTACTAGAACTACACCACTTTTATAAAATTTACTAGCAATTTGATTTCCTTTGTTAACACACAACTTTACTCCATTATAGAACATGCATAATTACTACATTATGAGATATGAACATAATTACATACTAAATATTAGCAAAACCATTCAATAGTCATCATTAAAGCATCCCCTCATGCTCATAGCGTCCCTTGGAATTTCCTCCCAGCTTCATGCCTTAATCCGTACCTGCAAAACATTTTAAACACTTTCGTGGGGTGAGCGCTAATCGCTCAGTGGAATATGGCCATTTATAAACAATTAAGGTTCATTATACAAGTAAATTACTTAGGACTTTACCTACCTACAAATATGACCTTCATTCTTTAACATAACAAGTTCATAAAACATATCATACACTTTGACTTTTCTCATAAACATAAGTCATAACATAATTTGCTAATATAACATAGAACATAATGACTTATAATATTCATGTACAGGCATGCTTATTTCTTTTGTCTTTATACTTGATGGTTTCATTAGTCTTTGTTATCCGATCGGATTCATTTAAACCATTACCTTGTTCTTGGTCGTCACCTCAAAGGACTCATGGTTTCCATAAGAATTCCATTCCTCTGATCTTGGTTTATACCTCAAGAGACTCATGGAATTCATTCTTTAACATTTCATAAATTTTTCATAAGACAACTAAATAAGCTATATGCATTCCATTATGAATGCAAACATATGGACTAACATATTCCATGCTCAATCATACTATATTCTCCTACTAAACTTCTTAACTTAATTCATTTAATTTCTCATACATACAAAGAATTTCAGTAGTAATTATTCAGGGGTTTACTAGAATTAGAAACAAATGGGATTTCCATTAAGAAGGTGGATGCCATACAGTTCGTTACTTTCAAGCAATTTTCCATTATCTTCTAATTCGAATTTAGTTTTGGCCAAAACATAACGTTTTAGTCTGTTTCTAAACTTTTAAACACTTCAAGAATCAACTCAATCAGACTTCTATAACTTCAGTTATGACTGATTCAGTGAAGCATGTACAGTATAAGTCTTAAAAACACCAAATCCGAATTCTATACATTTTAACCATGTCCCCTTCTTTGCACATTCATATTATTTGCCATATCATTCTAAGTAAAAGGCCATAAAACCCCCCTTTTTACAGAACCAAAAAGCCAAAACATCGTCCACTACAAATCTCTTAATTGGCATAATCATCCTCCATATGCACGCATACACCAATCAACACACCCATTTAAACAACTCATAACCAAACTTCAGATCACACTCATATATAATAATACATGTAAGTTTCATAAACCCTAGGTGTTATTGTAGTCATAAGGGAGATTTTTTCCTTACCTTAGTATTCAAAGCACAAAGATACTCCTCCTTGGCTCCAAAATTTCACCTTTCTACCTTACAACACAACCATTATGAATTTCTCTTTTAACCAAAAAATTCAGAAAAACTAGGGTTTTGAAACTCACCTTTAACCCTGAAATTGAAGTTCTTTAAGGGTAGATGGTGATCTCCTTTAAAAATCAACTGAAATCCTAAGAAAATTTGAGAATAAAATCTGGATTAGTGGCTTTTTGGTGTTTGAGATATGAAGAGAGATATATATTTGAGGTCTCCAAGGCCGACTACTCCTCTTTAACCTTGTAAATATCATTACATTGATACTCAAATATGATGGTCAATAAAAGTTAGATATAAGGTCATTTGGCATAAATTTTTCATATAGGGCGTTTTGGTCATTTCTACCTCAACAT